CCCCCTTTTTCCTTCATTCCTTTTGTATTCAATCAAAGAGAACCCCATATTGAATGTAAGCGTAACTCTTACCTACACTTCCCCCTGGACATGCTCTCAGCAGCATCTGAGCTCTCTGCTTGACATCCACCATCAGCTTGTCTCCATCCATAAGCTGAGGATAGATACAAGCTGCAAGAACCTAGGAGAGAGAGGACAATGAACAGTTATTTCACAGAAATAAATGATTGTTTAAACCCTGTTTTTTTAACATCTCATCTTACCTGTCTTACAAATGAAAGAGGTTTTACACCTGCCCTGTGTGGGTCACCCCAGGAGACATCGATCACCTCCCTGTAGGACTTTTTTACGCCCTGTGATTTGTGACACAAAGAAATTTAAAAACAGAAAGAAAATGCATGTTTTCAATTCACTTCATGCTTCACAGCAATTTATTCTCTTACCTTTTTGAGTTCATCTTTGATCTGGTTTGTCCGCCTGGCCAAGACTGAATACTCCAGCTGCTTCATGTTTCTTATATTTAAACTGATCTCCTGCAAGGCAGACATGTCTGTGAAATGTCCTTCTTTTTCTCTGACCAGACCAACACAATCTGAGCGGGACAACTGTGGATGTTCTTAGCAGCTTAATGCAAGTGAATTTCATCTTCTAGTCAAAGATTTACACGAGAAAATGTAGCAATAGGTGTTACATTAACATGGCCGGATTTTTGCAGTTTTTTTTTCCATGTGCCTTTATTAGGTAATCTGTAAAAACATCAGGCGATGTGTGGAATTCCTGTTTGTTATCTGTTAACTGGGTTCTGATCTGGCATGACATGACTAATGCAACATTTATATTCATATACATCTCAAATTTTTAATCTGCTCATATATCTTTAAACATTTCTTAAATGAATTGTGAATGACTACGGCCTTTTAAAAGTAAACTATATGAATTGATATGTCATGTTTCTGCAGCTACTTTAATGCTGGGTCTTAAGCAGTCTCTTGAAATATACCATCGTTAATTAGGTAAAGCATTGATTTTAGCATAACATCATTTAAGAAAACCTGGGAAAATCTTATCAATCAGAAACACAAAAATAACTTAATCCTAATTCATGATTACAAAATTACTTATGAATCTAAAAAGTATTTTTGTGACAACAGAGCATAATTGAATGGCTGTGACAATAGTAATGGCACCACTATTGTCACAATAGTGATGGCACTCTTCTAAAATCTTATTTTAGACTGACAATTTGGGGATTTCATCAGCTGAAAGCCAAATTCACTTGAGTAAACTCTAAATTGTTGAAATGTAGAACTCTGTATTTGGTGAATCTGTGTCAAATATGAATTTCACCTTATATTTAATTGAGCACTGGACAAACTAGGTAAATAAATAGATATAATCACACTTTGATCCATTAAAATGCATCTGTATTTTTCTTTGCAGCAGCAAGAGATGAGGGGTCTGCAACTTTAGAAATCCAACAAGCCATTTTTGCTTTTTTTCAGGCTAAATAAAACTTATTTAGAGCTGCAAAAGTTGAATGCCATTTTTTTTTTCAAATAAAAAAAATCTCAAGATTATTAAAAATAACTGTAGGATATTTGGAAATAGGATAGTTGCTATAAAAATATTTCTCAAATTGCAGGTTTTGGGATAAAAAACAAAACAAAAGAGATCCTATGTGTAATAATGATATTTAAAGAAGATGATTCAAACAGAACACTATGTAGTTTCCAATGTATGGAAATGTAATTGTTATGATTTGTAAATTAAAATAGATCAGTTAGTTCTAATGTTATGAAGAACCAGAATGGAAGTCCAAAGAGCCACAATGGTGATCTGATAGACCTTAAAACTGTGAAAGTTTAACTTAAACTGTTTGTTTGTTTCCTCATTTGAACAATTAATACTGGGTTAAGAATAACAAGCACCAGAGACCAAATATATATTTCTTTACTTTAATGAGTGTAATATCGAAGCTCCCATTTGTAGTACACCCTAGGAGACACTCTGTCAAAAGAAAAAATGCAATATTCGCATGCAGATGCAATATATAAAACTATAAAACTATATAAGGGTTATGCAAAAACAAATGGGTAAATATAGTAGGTGATTATGGTATGTCATTTTTTTCAGGTGTTTTCTTTTTTCTTGAGGGTAATTTTACAAATACAACTGATACTTCTATGTAAGGGATACATACAAGATATAAATGCCATTGGATATACATTATACTGTAACAAAGTAGTAAGAAGAAAGTAAGATTGACCCATCTCTTCTTTGATAAAGAACTGGGGGGAAAAATTAAGCAAAATACTACATATCCTACCCTTGATGAAATTAGATGTTTTAATGATGTCTTCTTTTTTAAACCCAGGGTGGCAAATTACATGAATTATATTATACATTATAATTGTTTTACATCGGTTATTTCAGAATACAAATGTCTTTAGTGTCCCACAGTGGGTGAAGGGGCAATACAGGTTGGTCTGTGACAAAGCAAATAGACAAATAAATGCATAGAGAGGTAGGCTATACGGGAGACAAGATGAGGAAAAATCAAACGCCTATAATAGACCATAGGCCTACAGCACGGAAAAATAGTCATCTCAGAATAGCAAACATTGTTCAGTTATTTTAAAAAATAATACTAAGAAATTACACATGTTCAATATAACAAGCAAATGCTTGGCCCGTTACAAAAAATGAAATAAAAAAACGGAGCAGGGAAAAAAAATGGAATAGTGTAAGAAACGCAATCAACTCTGAAAAAAGTCCATACAACTATTATTATTTTTTTTTTTTATGCTTTATTGGCAATTCTATGTAACATTACAGAATTAATCAAACATCAAGCATAGATATACAACAGTTGGTGAAACATTTGACAATTATAGGTGAAAGAATTACTTTAAGAAAGACAAGACATAGACGGTAAACAAAGTCCATAAAAATGTAAAAGAGCCCTTCTTCTGTACTCGGAGGATTTTCGGCGACTCCGTTTCTACCCGGACGTAAATAACAGACGTGCTGTTCTACTTCCTGTTTTGTTTTCTTTTGGTCCACATCTGCTTGGCTCGACAGAAATGGAAGAAGCAGCGAGACAAAAACACAACCACAGCCTACAATTGAAAATATCACGTCTTTATAAACTAGACAGAACCTTTTAGACCCGACAGCAGAAGCAACGAGCCTTCCTCTGGTCCCAGTGCGTGAAACATGGCACTCAGCTCGGGTAGCTGGGCTCTCCCTGCTCCGGTTCCTGCCTCATCCCAGCAGCCTGCTTGCAGCGGCCCCGCTCCGGCAGCATGCTGCAGCACTGTCCTGATGTCTGTCCGCGTTTCGGTGTCCCACTCCGGGATCAGACCGCTGTGCCTACCTGGAGCGGGAAGCGACTCTCTGCGGCTGCAGCTCAGCATGGACCCCAACATAGCCGGAGAGTTCCGGCTGGCACTGCGAGATACCAGCGGAAATCGCAGTGTGGTGAGGTTTTATCTGTTTGTTTACCTGCAGAGCTCTTTACTCTAACTCATAAAGTCTTTATTATCATGTTTTTACCTACAAGAGGAAGCAGATTGAGGAATGAGAGTCTTTTGTCCCAGGCTATATATATACATCACCACTCAAAAGCATACATAAAAAAAAGGTTGTTGACGTGAATGTATTAAAAATCAGCTACAGCGCTAATGCACAACAAGCCAAATTGTCTGTTTGAATTCCTATTCAGTAGTTAAGCTCTTGAGGTAGAGGGACTTCATTCCAAGCTGCTCAGTTCAGAACCTCAAGGTGATTTGATCGAGAGAGCTGGGTTGTGTTACTGGTGACAAAATGGTTCAGGAATTGAGCTTTGAATCCTGAGGTTGTGAGTTCAAAACCCTTTTCTCACATACTGCCACTGTGGCCCTCTGAGCAAGACCCTTAACCCCACACTGCTCCCCTAAGGAGATGGGTTCAATTGAGAGAGTTTATTTTTCCATTGTGAGATCAATACATTTATTTATTTTATTAATTTATTTTTTTACACAATGTTTTTTCACAATGACTGTGATTTGGTGATACACAAATACTTTCAGTCAGTGGTGTCAAAAGTACACACATTTGTTACTTACGTATAAGTGTTGATACTGCAGTTAAAAAAACACTCTGGTAAAAGTTGAAGTATCAACTTGACCTCTTTATTCAAGTAAAAGTGAAAAAGTATGTGCTCCAAAAACTACTTAAAGTATAAAAGTATACAATAACCTTTAATAAAAACAGCCAGATTCCACTATGTGAATTGAAAGCTCAATTTTTAAAAAAAAATTGAGATAGAGCCAAGGATGATGGAGTTCTTGTTGGTCTCCGTCTCCTTCTCCCGATACACTCTCGTCTGTGTCCAACCTTTCAGACATTTCAACATCTTATACTGAATCCAACATTGTAGCATGGCATAGACAATTCACGTTTGCAGTTTGAAGAACACCTGCTTGCTTCTGATTATTTCCTTTGGCACAAATTTGATGAATAGCTAACCAATGTTTGGTTATAGTATAGTAGTTATAGTGTTTGCGTTATGACTCATCCAATTAAACTAGTTTTTTACCAGATGTGGATGGTGCCAATTATCTGCTTTGGATGGCGCACATGACGTGAAATAAATATTTATAAACATTAAACCAAAGCCAAGAATAATGAGGAATGTTTGTTTCAAAAATGTAAGGAATAGAGAGTACAGATACTTGTGTGAAAATGTAATGAGTAGAAGTCAGAAGTAGGAAGAAAAGTAAGTAATGAAGTAAAGTATAGATACCTAAAACATGTACTTTAGTACAGTAACAAAGTATTTGTAGCTCGTTACTTGCCACCTCTGCTTTCAGTCAGGCAAATGTTTCTTTCTTTTAAGCAAAGGAAAACATATAATAACCTGTGCAGGGGCTTAATTAAACCACTGTATGCTCCATCCATCAAGAGAACCTTTAGGGCCCTCCTGGATTTTCCCATATGAACCATACAAATGGAATAAATTAACTTCCTAATAACTTGATACCAGTAACTGTGAAGTGAGTGAAGGAGAACATTTTAAAATCTAATGAAAGAACTAAAAGAATCCCTGGAGCAAAGAATTTGAAGCATGTTGCAGAAAAATAATTAAGATCTTTGGTGTCTTTTTTAGCTGCTGCAAGGTGGGAATCTGTGAGTCTGTCCCTCTTTGGTCTCCCTCTTAGTTTACCTGCCACTTCAGATAATTAATCAGGGACCTACGTCTTATTTTGCTTACATTTGTCTATGAATCAGTTTGTGCTGGGAGGCATCACTGATCTGATGGAGGAAATTAACCACAAAAAAGAATGTTTTTTTTTTTTTTTATCTCTAAGCTGTATTTGGAGAAAAAATGCTTTTCCAAGGAAAAAAAAAAAAAACATTAAATAAGCCCCTCTGTAAAGTTTGCTCTATTTTGCACTATTTTAAAGCGTTACAGTAAAAGGAATTTACCGGTAAAACAGGAGAAATAAGAAATTCCATTAAGGTTTTACACTCAGCCAAATATAGACTTAAGTTGACTCACTTTATCTAAAAACAATAAGGTGTTCGCCTTCCCCCACATGACGTCCTTGTAAAAGGTTGCATGCTCCTTTTTCTTTCTCACAATTATGGGTAAGACCTTTTTTGATTTGCAGAGCCGTATTTTGATCCCACCTTCTTTATATCTATATGTTGAAGTCTTTTCAGAGATCATAGACGGTCTCTTTCTTGCTAAAGCCAAAACCCTTTTTTTTTGCCTCCATGGCCTTTTGTTCCCTAAAGCACCAGACATGGAGAGTCAACCCATTATGTAAAATAATCTGGTTATTTACAAACTTTCCACCAGATTTCAAACAGATACACTTCAATAGACAGATTTGATTATTTTTTTTCAAGTCCAGCTAAACCCGTGTTCAAATGTGAGAAATAAGAAAGATTGTTGAATAATTCACATTCATGCAAAGAGACTCAGCATTTTTTGTCTAAAATAGCTGTTTTAACTCTGCTAAAGTCGAACCATAAACCTGTCCAGATTCAAATCAATTTCCTCGTCGTCTTTCTGGAATTCTTACAATAAAGTGTTCTATTATGTATTAAACCGAATTTTTACTCCCATGAACTCTTTGTAAAGACATTTTATCACAGCCTGTGTTCTTTCCCTTCAGTTCATTGCAGAGTTTGACTTGCGCTCGGTTCAGTATGAGGTCAAATCCTCCCGCTGCCATGAGATGCGACTTGCTGCTGCGCCCCTCGACTGCATCCGTTTCAACTTCCGCTGCGACCGCGAGGCTGAAGCTTGGTCCACTGTGGTGCTGTCATCGCTGAGAGAGGCGCACAGAGGTCAGTGTGAAAACAATTCAACTGTCATATTTTAAAGGTGTTGGGCGACTACTGTAGAGTCCCTTGAAGAATGAACGTACCAGTTGAATTTTATTATGTTTAAACAGCAGACATGAATATATTTAGGCAAAAGTTTTTACAGGCATGGAGCAACAAATCTGAATTTGAGCAAGTATCTAATTGTTAGATTGGTGGGTTGGGGACTAACCTTTCTGCATGGATTACTCACCTCAGATGCTCTTTCTGTTGATAAATAGAAAAAAGTGCTTAGAAAGTAATGTTAGTGCTTGTTTTAAATGGGGAAATTCTTATTTGAAAGTGGAGCACATCATAGAATGCATCAAGCAAACCGGATGCTAAACAAAAATAACTTTTTTTTACAATGTACTTTCTATTTAACTATTTTTCTATTAACTGCTGCCCAATGATGTGTCGTCTTTCCAACGTGGAAAAAGAAAGAATCGAACATTAAAAGGCCAAAATTGCTGTTAGACTCGTGTGAACTGCTGGTCAGCAGTTATTTGAAGGAGTTGTTTGTCAATTAGGGGCGACGGTGGCGTCGGGTGTAGAAGTTTGCTCTGCAATCGAAGGGTTGTCTGCTTTCAGTCTTGTTGTGTCGTTGGGCAAGACACTTAACAGCATTGCCTACTGATGGTGGCCGGAGGGTCCAATGGAGCCTCATTTCTGTCAGTTAGCCACGGGGCAGCTGTGGCTACTATGTAGCTTTCCACCATCAGTGTGTGCGTGAATAAGTGAATTTAGTGTAAATCGCTTTGAGTATTGAGAGCAGTATAGTTATCGTGATAATAATTCACTTCAATTCAGTTATATAGAATTCATTAGCAACAAATCAAGTAAAAAGTTAATTCATTTAAATTCATGGGATAGGACTGCATGATCTCATAAAAAAAATGAAATCAAGGTTGTTTTATGTTGGTTTTATTATTTCTGACCAAAATTGTGAACAGGATCTCTCTTTTTTTTCCCTTCTCCAACCATTTTTATGTTTGGCTCCAGTGTTTCATTGGTTTGATGGCCTTTCATGCTCTCTTATCCAGAGTTATTTGTCGTAGGACTTATCGTAGGTAGAATTAGGGGTGGGCAATTAACTGCATTTACAATAAAATCGCAATTTAACAAAATACAATTATCAATTCGAACGGGCACTAAATTTTAATCTCACTATATTTAACAAGAGTAAGACAGTAAATTTGTCACTCCAGGCTTTTAAGCTGTGATTAAATGCTCAAAGTGGATTTGCAGCCACACAGAAAGTTAGAGAGACTTGCACTTTTTCACATAAAGAATACAGTAAAGTCGGACTCTGGAAAACAAGCTTTCATGGAAACAAAGAACTGAAACCTTGGGGTGAAGTATCTACAAGCTTGTGTTTAATGCAAAGAAAAACTGCTATATTGGTTAAAAGTAATTTCTGTTTTGATATTTGGCAAAATCATTCAGCCCCAAATGGAAAGGTGTTTATTTCTTGCTCACACGCTTCTGTGTGGTAGAAAATCCACATTAGGTTTGTTACTGCAACCTAAAGGACTCAAGAGAGAATGTTTGTGTCTAACTCTTGTTAAATATAACATGACCAAAGATCCAGTGTCCAGTTTACCATTCGAATTGTTGGTTTTCTATGTGAGGAAATCCAGCAGATATCAGTGAATTATTGACTTACAGATGAACTCCTCCTTGATAAGAATTTAACCTCCTTGGACAGTCACTGTCAGTGTCTTTGTCTTTGCGCTAATCCCTCATACCAAGCGTGCATTTAGTGACAATGTAGAGATAAAATACTTTTTAACTGGAAAAAACTTGTCGGTAGAGACACACAGGAAACGTATAGCTCTGATTTGGGAGTATTTTCTGTGAGGGGAAATAAATAGTTTATTGCAGCAGTAGCTCCTTTATTGACTTCATTGTTTAATAATTATACTTATTTTGAAATATCTGTTATTTTCTCAACATTGATACTTCAGGTTTCTGATCTTCTGAGGAGGGGCTTTGATTTCCCTTTTAGTTCAATGAAAATTCTTCTGTTTCTGCAGGGGTGGGGGGACAATTGTACACCCAACTGTATATTTCCAATCATACACTGAGATGTTGTATAATAACTTATTTATTTCTCTCTGGCAGTGGCAAATATAAACGCCTGTGAATCTGATGGCAAACACATATCTGAAGCAGCCCCAGATCAGAGGACCTCCACCTCTCTGCTGCTCATTGGTGAGAGTGGGGAGTTTTCACCATGCAGTGTTTTTGCACGCCCTCATAGTCTGCTCTGAAAACGTCACCATTTTATCCCTTGATTTTCAGAGGAGCTGTGTTCGGAGCTCTCCAAGGCGATCGAGGCAGGGGACATTCAGGCCGCCTCCCAGCACGCATCCGCTCTGGCTCGGCAGAAAGCGGTGCTGACGATACAGCCGTCCCCGAAAAACTACACCGATGGAGAAATAAGGTCTGGATAAAGTCGGTAAACATGAGATGTGAAGTGACTTTAACCTATGTTTCACCGCTGTTATGGTGCCTGTGTGTTTCAGTTTATCTGTGGTGGTGGAGGATGCCTCTTCTTCTTGTTGTGTCACAGTGATCGTTTTTCCATACATGTCCGTGGCCACGCTTAAACAACAGGTGAGAAAACTTAACGGTGTTAAAAGCGAAACTTTTGGTGGCTCCCATCTACTAACGTTAATAGCTGTTCATCTCCAGGTCTTCCTGGAGTACGGCTTCCATCCGCGCGTGCAGCGCTGGGTGATCGGTCAGTGCCTGTGTGCCGATCCCAGGTCACTGGCTTCATACGGAGTTCAGAAAGATGGCGACACCGCGTACCTTTACCTGATCTCTGCTAGACAAGCTCGGGTTACACGGCAGCTGTTCCAGCAGGACCTGGACAACTCCCTGCTAGCTTCACCGCTGCCCCTTGGAAGCAGCCTCACCTCCCAGGTCTGGAGGGGTTACAGCACTCTGCCATCAAAGCTTCCCCACAACAACCAGGGTGAGAACAACACATTTTTTCTCCAGCTTGAGACAAACTGCACCTAAATCTGCTTGCATTAAGCCTTCTGTGTGAATCCATGCTGTTGGCTGTATTTTACACATTTAGTTGGATACCTTCTTTAATGTAAACGTTGAGTCAAGTGATCCATCTAAGCCAGTTCACCAGTTTTTTCGTACTGCAAACACAAACTTTGGTGAATTGAATTAAGATTTTGAGTTGAAATAAGATTTTCAAGCATATGTATGTGCTACGATGGCCTAGTCAAAACCCAAATTGAATTGTGTTTGAGAATATGATGCAAGTTTGATGAAATCCTGTTTACTACCTCTCCTTTTAATCTGGCAGAGCTTCAGGTATTCTACAGAGAATTAGGGAAAAAAGTTGGTTCCTAATGAGTATTGCTGATTTTTATTCCTATAGAAAAATATTTCCTTTCACTTCTGTTTTGATGTGTTGTACATGGAATTTCAATGAAATACGTTGAATTTTTTTAGTCATGAACAAAATCACCACACAGCAAAAACAAGGTATGAATACTTTTGCAAGACCCGATAAATCGTACATTGCATTTTGTGGACATGGGGTTAAATATACAATTTCTATTAATCGGGTTGTTTTAAAATATTTAATAGTCTGGCCACACCAAAATCACCAAAACTGATTTTGATGTACCTGAAAAAGCAGCTTCAGTTCTTTAACCCTTAGGAGCATCTAGCCCGCCATATAAAACCTTCTTTACAATAGAAAGTAGCTTTATTAAAGTAGCTGCAAATGTGCAGTCAAAACATGCGTCTTGTATTTATCCTGGTTCTGATGGGAACACAGCTGCTACTTTCTATTGTTTTATCTTTTACCATTGGCATGTTGCAAATACTTTTATGGTGAAAAAAGTCATTTGACTAACAGGTATTGAATAACAGGTATTAAAATATTCATAAATAAGGCCCAGTAAACACCATCCCATTACTCTTAATATAACTTTAGCTTGCACTTAACAGTTAAGATAACTTGTTTACTTTCTAAAACATCCACAGACGAGCAACTTTCTCATGAGGAGCATCAGCAGGTTGTTTTAGTTTTTTTAGGAAGTTTTGTATTCCTGTGGCATCCCATTCATGTTTTTATCAGAACGTTGGAAGGAATTTCTTTAGATCCCAGTCTTTCATCTTTTTAGGTTTTGAAGAGTTGTTGTTTCACTTGCTTTAATCTATTTTTAACAGAAACAGGCGGAGGGAATAATAAAGCAAGTGACATCAAAGATGTCCTTGATTTTGAGAAGCTGCACCTGAACGACCGCCCCAACAAAGCCAACAAGACGCAGGTATCTGAGCCGCACGCTGTTTAAATAGGCTGCAGATGGAGCAAGCGAAAGCTTTTTTTGCTTTCATGTTGGAAAAATCACATTTGACTTCATTTGTATTTTATTTATTTTTGATATCGCAGCAGACAGACTGGGCTTGTCCATCATGCACTTTCATCAACAAGCCGTCTCGCCCGGGCTGCGAGATCTGCGCCACTGCCAGGCCCGACCTGCAGACCTGCATCCAGCAGGTACTTCCATACATCTAACTCCAGATGAATCAGTCCTCTTAACACCTGCCCTCACACAGTCACTTATTTTTTTTTATTTTAATCTTTCACCAAGGAGAAAGGCAGGAGAGAGGATCGCAGGGAGCCTGGTGTAAGCAGCAGCTGACTGCCCCTCACCGCCGTCTGGATCATGCTTCTCGCTCACTCCCACACTCACCCCCCAAAAGTGAGCCGTTTAGATCTGAAATACAGCTGTTGGCAAATTACTCACAGAAACAGAGTAAAGTGCACTGATTACCATCTGACAGATACAAATGTGCCGCTCGAACTGCGGAAAGAGTGCTTGGTCTGTTTATACATAGACATCATGACATGGCATCTCATTTGGTTAGACCTTTTTCTTATTTATTTTAGAGTGGGTGTATATATGTGTTTGTGCGTGTAACACAAACAGCCTGATATTTATTTTAGCAGGGAAATGGAGCGAGGTAATTTCCTTCCTTATGTCCGATTGCAGCCAAAGACGAGGGGAGGTCACTCGCAGCGTCCAGTTGCTGTGATAAGGAGAGGGAGGCGATGCCTTTGATGTCTGTTAATCAGTCATCTGCAGCAGTGGTGCCAAAACATTATAAGAAATAAGAGGGAAAAAAAAGCATGGGTTGTGTACAGGATTGTATTTAGTGTAATATTTTTACCAAAATGCATTAAATATGTGTTGTATATTTCAAAGTGTAGTTTAATTGTACCTGATTTCCTCTGAGCTGTGAAAGCGAAGAAGGATCCACTTTCACTGCATAATCTATATAAAAGAAGGAATCTGCCTGTGACTCAATTTTATTTTTTCCAGACACCTTCAAGCTTCCTTACAGCTTTCTATCACAAAGAAATGTCATTTATGGTCTGAGCTTTTTTCCATGCTGCTTAAAACACTGTTAATAAACTTATAACTAAGATCAGTTACACTGTTGTATGTATTTAGCACTCGGTGCACAAACAAGCGTCTATTGACATATTCTCTAGGAATTCTAGCCTATAAAAAAATGAAAAAAGAAATAACATAATGAACTAAAATGATCCCATGGAAACAAAACATTGTATTTCCCTAACAAGGAAAAGCCTTTAGTGATCTAAGCTTTGTGACGTTTTCATTATCCATCAGTAAATGAATGTACGGTGATCATATAAGGAGGAATTTGGTGAAAACAAAATGTCAGTTGATACCAAAGATCTAAATAGTAAACCAATAAAACATCTCTCAAACCAACACTACCAGCTGCCCCGAGCTGTGAGAGCATTTCCTCTTCTTCACCTATTCTGATGCTTGGTTTGGGTTACAGTGAGATACCTAAATATGCCAAGTTGCTGCTGTGATTGGTATATTTGTTCCTGATTTACATAATAAAATAGATACATACAAAAGCCAACTAATTTAGTACAGTTGACCTTTACATGGACTTGAGTTTTGTTTGCAGTCTACTCTGAGCTCCAGTGATGGAAAAACAGCCAGGTAGAAAAGTAAAGCGCTTGATTATTCATTAATTTTGACCCTCATCTATAGTCATGACTGAAAAAAAGACATCCTGGAAACAAGTGGCTGACCTGTTTGGACGATGGAAAACCTTAACCAATTTATAAGCTCAGCCTTATAAATTGGTTAAGGTTTTCCCATCGTCTGCTAGTTTTCAGTAGAGTGGCTGGTTCTGTTTGGGGCGCCTTGTTTATTTGGAGTTTTTTTAATGGGAAGGTCCCACTGGAAGGAGACCTGTGGCACACCCATAAAAAAGCCTGTAAATGTTAGATTGTCATTAAGAAAATGGGTGTCTAGGATGGATGGACTTTCTTGTCAAGATGCTTTTAAAAAGCTTAGCGTACCCAAAACAGACTACAAAACAGGTTTTTTTTTAAATATCTTTAAAAGTTATAAATATGAAACAAACACAAATAAACAAAAGTAAAGAAAAAAAAAATCCACCAAGTGATGCTTGCTTCAACTGTTAAGAAGCAGGCTGTTGACGGTCATCTTTCATTAGCATCATCTCTTGAACATTTTCTTTATAAACAGTGCAGCTTCTTTTATATTAGTCCAAAAACCCCAAACCATCCAGAAAAAAAACCCTCTCCTCACAGAAGGAATATTCTATTCACAGCATTTCACAAATCATAGTACACCCACACATTTGTTTACATAGTTATTTTAGTTATCAAAGTTTTGTTTGCATGACGTCCCACTAAAAGACAGAATCAGTTATTAAAAATGTTATGGATGTACTGATTTACTGAAATACGGCATATACCTAAGTTTACATCTTCCCACTCCCACAACTGGTTGTTAATCTTAGTTATGTAAAGTAAAAACCGTTTTATTTATTGGCTGCTTAAAATGTTTTAGGAGGCCATAAAATGGCTGCAATCTTAAAAAAAAAAAAAAGAAATGTGTACCTTCAGTGAAGATTCATAACAAAATGTTACCAGAGGGAGTCACTTCTTTTTTGCAAAATAAATTTCCTTGCTTCATCCTCTAGTGGATCATCTAATAGTCTCAAGCCCTCAGCAGATCTGCAGGCTATTTCCAGAAGAGGATATTCCAGAACAGCAGCCAACAAGGATAAATCATTAAGGCAACAAGTGGGTAAACTAGAGAACCGTACAAGTAATGGTCCAGGATTCCCTGGGAAATAACAGACAGGTACAACAGCCAGCCTTCTTGGAAGCTGACAGGCATTTCCTGGAGCTCTTGGAAGAAAAACACAGAGAAGAGGAGCGTGCAGGCTGGGCTGAGGATCACCAAGACGACAGCTGACAACGCTCTGAAGAAAGGAAAAAAAAAACATATCAGAGTCCACATTTCTGTCAGTGCTACTAAAACATTGATAAAAAAAATATCTAAGGAATTACTTGGGCACGTGGGGTGTAACAAAAGCAGCCACAGGCACCAGTGTGAGAGCCAGGATGAAGCCCAGGGAGAAGTTAATGAGGGCAGTGCAACCCAGCAGAACGGCCAGGTAGAGAACAGCAACGAGCTTCAGCACCCTCCAGCCTTGCTCTGTCCCCTCACCGGTCAGCAGCCTGCAACAACAAACAAAACAGTTTATTTAGCTGCAGCAAAGTCCTGATTCTACAACTCATAGCGCCTTCTTGAGGCTAATCTACACTGAGACTGATTTACAGATATCCCCTTGTTTTCTGTCTATATATTTAGGCAGTTTGTTCTTTTGTTTAAACAAAGATGAAACAAAAGAATTTTTTTTCTTTGAAACAAAACTAGAAAATTGATAAACCATTATCCTTTTTTTTTTGCACAAAAAAAAATTGTAAATACAAATACAAAATGAGAGGGTGCTTGCTGTGGGACTGAAGGAGCCTCAGTTTTGCATGGATATCAGGTAGAAATTGTTTAATTCCTTTTTTCGGCAAACTGGCCATAAGCAAGATGTAATTAGACCCACATTACTTGGAATTTGCTGTGTTTTAAATCCTCATACAAATTAATATTGGAATATGAGGTTTCCCGTGAATGAAAATATATATTTCGGCATTTTGGACTTGTGTAAAACACAAGGCTTATGCTGGGCAGAGCCCAAAAAATATGATAATTTTCAAAAATATAATAGAAAGTGAACCCTCTGGGAATTGTTTTTCTTTTTTTCTTTAACTTTTTTTTCTGGTTTGGGGTTGATAAACAAAATACTAGTGTATTTTTGTTTTTTAGTTTTAAGAAAAAAACTGTCTGAATACACAGAGACCTTTAAAGGTATGGTGGAGGATTTTTGAGAATTTTCCTGTACCCGCTCCCAAGAGGGAACTCCTAGTGTTAGAGCACGCACAAGCCCAATTCTCCTCGTGCACGCTCTGTTTAAAAGTTGCTGTTTGCATCGCTCATACAAGCTTACTTTCAAAAAGAAGATTTGCAATTTTTCCAATATGTCAGACTCACCACCGGTAAGTGAAAATGGGGACGAGCACGTAGGACGGCCTTACGTAAACATACGAGGGGCGTTCAATAAATAATGCCCCTGACCCACTTCCAGATGTTTGATCCAGGTGATATTTTGCATGTGACGTTATTTAAATCTCTATAAATTAAGTAGCAAATTACAGATCTGAACTATTTGTGGTTTCTGACTTACAGGTGTTTGAACTGAGTAAAGTCTGAAATGGAGCCTGTTGAGTGTTGAGCAGTGATCCAGTTTTTCTATCGGAAAGCACTCACACCACGGGAGACTTTTGATTAAATTAAAGTAACTTATGGTGATGAAGCCCATTATATGACCTTTACAAAATGTTTTACAAGGTTATATTATGGGACGTTATCACTATAAGTGATATTACTTTGATTAAAAGTCTCCCGTTGTGTGCGTCATTTCAAATGCAAAAACTCAGACATGACTCAGTTCTAACACCAGTAAATCAGAAACCACAATTAGTTTAGAGCTGTAATTTGCTATTTAATCTATAGACATTTAAAATACCTCACATGCAACATTTCAGCTCGATCAAACATCTGGAAGTGTGCCGGGGGCATTACTTATTGAACGCCCCTCGTATCACCAGAAGGATAGACAATTAGGAGGACCACCATCCTCCACTATACCTTAAAGCTATGCATGAAAAATGAATTCAATAAACATTTTCAAATTATCTTTTTTTTTTAATCAAGATTAAATAAATAGGATGATTTTTTGGTTTTCTCTAGATCAATCACAAGTTCTTAAATAAAGAGATGAGTTGACAAACCTAAGCAAAGTTAAGAAAAGACTAAATGAGAACAGGTATAAAATGAAAATGTCATAAACCAGAGGTTGTGTCAGACGCTACCTGTGTGTGTTATGAGGCAAAGCCAGACCTGCTGTGTACACAGCAATGGCTGTGAGGACAACAGCTTCGGTCTCAGAAACTGGGAAGTGTTCGACAGCAATCTCCTGGAAATGGGTTGGCAGTATGTACAAAGCTGCTCCAGTCAGGTGGCTGATCACCAGAGGAGTCAGAACTGACAGAACCCCCGTACTGGACTGCTGCAGAAAAGAGTTTTCAGAGATAAATCAACAGAAACAAGTAGTTTCATATCCAATTGGTTAATCTGTGTTGGTGTCCAACCTGCTCTAAATCAGCAACTCCATCCGCTGTTATGGCAGGTGGATTGGCAATCAACACCCACAGGTCTAAGGCCTACATTTAGAGTCAAGGAGCATAAATAGATAGATTGCACAGCTAAAAACGTAGTCAGTCATACCAGCTTTTCTATTTGTTTAGTTTAAAAAAAAAAAAAAAGAGAGAAATTATGTAGGGAGGATACACGAAGCAGCAAAATCACCACCAGGAGGCCAAAGGCAGGCATATAGTATCCGATAGAGACAAAGTTGGAGAGGGACGGCATGAGATAGAAGAAGTAAGATTGGTGAAGACGCTCCAGAAGGTTATTCAGCTTCCGAAACATTCCTTCCAGCAGTCTGAAAGGCAAAAAGAAAAATGAAATCAGAGAAATGCTTGTATTTTCAAGTGCATCTTAAAATAAAATGTCAATGAGTTTTAAAATATTACATGTAACCAATAAAAAGACATTTCAATACAGAATACTGTTATTGCTTACACAATCATGGTTGTGTTTGTTACGCCTCATTAGGAGACTAAGCAACAAATAATCACTGCTACAAAATCAGACTTTACAAAATACTATGTCCAAGCATATAATGGTAAATTAGGGGGAAGGAAAAACTTATGTTAAACAAGGTCACTGAAATACAGGTTATTTTGAATTATATTGTAATGTATTGATGTGCACATAAATTCAAAATGTATAAGGAATATATAATATAAAATGATATTATTACTGTCAGTCCGAAACAAACACATTTGCCATTTCATCCTGTAAATATGACACTATCTGTTGAAATTGCATCTTTATAGTTTAGTGCTCTAAATCACAAACAATGTTTCTTATCACAGGTCCTTTCTCCCAACAGATGTAAGAATTTATAACCATCACTGTTCCCAACAACCTCCATAAGTTGTTACATTCATGCTGCTTTGTTTCTGTCTTAGTGACTTAAATAACATACTGCTGTCATTTTTTTCTCTGATGATGCTATTTGCACATATCCACTACTGCAAAAAATGTCCAAAGCTGTTTATTGATTATTTATTCTCCAGATACAGCGTCTGTAAAAATAAAAAATGTACAGTACAATACTTTATTTTATTTTCCTATCAGTTATTTCTAAGGTGCACATTTTGTGACCACTTCTGCTATAATTATTTATATTTATATTATTTATAATATATTTGGGGTTTTGATAAAAACATTCAGTCCTCTGTGGTTCTGACCTGCCGACGGTGGTGAGGTCTGTCTTGTACTGGCGGAAGCTGTTGATGCCTTTGATGGAGGCTGCCTCTATGTGGTAGCGCAGGAACAAACCGTGGTCTCCCCATGGCCGTCCACTGGCCTGCTTCATCACCATCAGCATCATGGTCTGGACTGCATGGCTGTAGCCTAACACACTGTCCCAATCATTCCTCTGCAACTGCACAAGCATTCACAAATCAAAATATAAAAAGATCATCATATAGGGGATTTAACCACATAACAGCATGTCTTTCCAGGTCTTTACCCTGCCCTGGATGGTGCAAATAACCCCAATCTTCTGGCAGAAGGCATAGAAGAGGTTTGCTAAATCCAGATTTGGTAACTGGCCATTAAGACCTTCCAGTACTATGTCCAAACTGGTTATTACATCACTGCTGAGCTCCAAAGACAGAGCTGCTTGGATTGAACCACCACGGCCCTGTAATGGAGACCAGTCCATTCCTGAAAGAAAAAGGAAATCAATTTTCTTGTTTGTTTTGACTGAATAAAAACCCTTGAAACTTAATCATTCTATTCGAGTGTAATGGCTGTTTATTATGACAGGATCAACTCAGATGATCACCTGTAGTGTTGGTGTGATGGTAGCTTTCCAGCCAGGCCTGCATACCAATCAGATCATGCTCATTTACAAGAAAGATAATGTCCTTGGCCCAGAAAATCTGACCTGGTAACAACAGATTACTAATGTCATCCTCACTGAATTGATATATTGAATGATTTAAAAGTGAACTGATTGTAGAGGAACCTTCAGAGGGTACAGTACTCACTGCGAAAATAGTGAGCCAAACCAAGCAGCAGCCCCACGGCCTGGTTGTTCTGATCACCTGGACTACAAGGAGCACTAATCACCAGGGCTTCTGTTCGTGGAGCTCGAGGTGCGCGAAGGATCCCGTAGACATTTGTACCTTTTACAATCTATCAGGAAAGGTGTAGTTTGTCACTATTTCAGCAAAAACAAAAAAAACAAAACAAAAAAAACAAAAAGAGGAGCCCAAACAGGAAAATAAAGTCTTATATAAGCTTACATATCTTTCTTTATTTTCATCTGGAAAGGGTAGTGTGCGAGAGAAGCTCTGGGTGAAAACCTCCAACCCTCGAGCCTGCATCGTTTTCACTAGCCAATCAACCGGCATCCCACTAAAGATAAACATCAAACAAACCAGTGGAATACTTCCAAGCTAATGCTAAGGTGTTCAACAATATATACAGATTTAAGCATAAAGAAAAAAGAAAGAAAAAAGCATACCCGGCTTTCTTCTTGTGAGCAGCAAACTCTCTGCCTGTGGCCAGAGCTCTTTCTCCTGAAGGAAAGCGTTCCTCAACCATGGTGGACCCCATGGCATTCTCCGACATATATGTCCGCAACGTGAAGGGTTCAAATGCCAATCCCATAAACCAGCAAACACCGGCAAAGTAGCACAGCACACTGGGATGCAGAAACAAAACAAGGTAAATCATCTGTAATCTGTGCCAGTTATAGACTTTATACCCCAGCGTCTAAGAAATAAAAGACCTGTTTCTAATTCCAAGTTTAAAATGAAATTAAGTAAAGATGCACCAATACAATACCTGGATCAGATATCAGCGCCGATATTGACTAAATTGCTGGATACCAGTAATTCTATATCCAATCCAAAGCACCTAAAATCGAACTGTTATTTATTTCTTTTTTCTGCTTATGTTTATAAATAATATATATTTATAACTGTGTTCATTTGTTACCTTTTATTTTAGCAATGTTTATGTCAAGACTAAAGCCTTCAGTCACATGGCAAGATATATGGTTCATTAAGTCAAGGACCAGCATCCATTGATAGCCCTGGTATAGGTATCTGATTCAGAAAAAAATGGATCGGTGCATCTCTAAAATCATGAAGGAATTATTAGAGGAACCTCAATATAAAGGAATTTTAGGCCAGCTTAAAAGATCAGAAGAAAAAAACAGAATCCTCTAAAAATTAGGGATTTTTACCCAGGACTGGCTGGTATTAACATTGTTTTACATGATCAGAAATAAATGGGATCCTGTTGTGATTGAAACTAACCAGATGGGAGTATTAAGGCGGGTCAACATGCTGATTAAAGCCCGTCTCCTGTTGGGATCAGATAAAAGTCCCATCTTGCTTTCTGGGCTGACGTTTCCTGGATGTCTGCACTCACCGGCTCCTGTAGAAAGCGAACAATTAAGAAATCAAGTTCAAAAATATACACGTTAATACTTTACAATGTGGAATATAGTAGTATTTGATAATGCCAAACGTTCCCAGAACAACATACACCTTAATGTCAGGGTTTTCATTCAATTTAAACACCGCTTTGCCAGACCGCAGCTTTCATTACAGCGGTGCTGTGTTTAGCATAATGCTAGCCAATTACGAGCTAAGTTTTCAGAGCTTGTAAATTCGCCAACCCCGTTCTAGTCCACTAGAAGTCTCAGTTATTACAGTTTAAAATGTGGTGTTATAATACTCCAAATATAAACAAAAATGTACCTCAGTCTAGATGCCACATCCACCTGCAGAGATTCATCTGGGGCGCCTCTCCTTAAAATACGTTGCGATTTCCTTGTTTCTGACGGACAGTTTTTACCGCGGACCGATTTCCGCTCTAGAAGCGCTGATAGAATAGAAAAACTAAATTAACACATTTTTAATAGTGCGTGGGCTTTCAGTGGACCATAATGGAATTTAGTCTAAATAACGGAACATTAATAGTTTGTTTTCCAAGGGATGTTAGATATGACCTTATTTTTTATTGCAAAAAAAGGAACATACATGAACAATATAGAACATTAATAATTAAAAACATATACAGCAACAAAGGGCTTTACAGAACAGATTATTTTAAAATGTCAAAATCAAATCTGTGCTCGAGGGTTATAATTGTTTAAGGGCAGTTATGATTTGCATGGCTTTAGCATTTGAACTATATTTTAAGGATGTTATATAAGATATTAATATAAGATAAAAATCTGGAAATTATGTTTTTGTTGTAAATATTTGGAGGTGTGAATATGACATTTACCATAAATAATACAAAAAATAACATGTAAAAATTTTGTTTTGACAAGTTCACATTTCTGTATCCCAAACAAAACATCCTTATCTGTTAAAGATTTTTTAAATAATATTTTAAGATTTTTTTGATGAAAGAAAATGTACATATCTCTCCAGATAAGTGCAAATCTACTGCAAACATAGTTTCTGCAGATGGTGCATATAGAACAATATGTGAAACTGTATTTCTGTTGTAATATAGGCATTGATACATGATGCTTGCAAAACATATATAAGGGTTATTACTCTACACTAGATGCCATGTTATTTGAGAACATTTTGCTGTGCTTGCAGGGGTTGACAGTCTATTGCATCAATCATGATTCAGATAAGGGAAGTATAGGATTACAGGGTGTTCCCAGGCCAAAGGGTTCTGTATCTGTAATCCTCCCAAATGAGAATTGCAAGGAAGTTGGGAATACCCAGGAGGCATCCTGATCAATTGACCTTTTATTACTGCTTTTAATGCAGAGGAACAGTGACTCCTCTCTTCTTCCACCCCAGATGGCGAGGCTCCTCACCCTTTCTCAACTGCTAAGTGAAGCCAACCTGTGGAGATTATCTTATGGGAATTCATGAGGGTACAAAATATTGTCCTATTGACTTTGTTTATAGTATAAGTTATAGCCAAAGATATCCAGTTATCAACTCCAGTATAAAAACGCACTTAAGCACACAAATGGGCAACTTTCAGCTGCTGCGGGACCACCATTATCAATAAACTATGCACCTAAACTACAGTTAATGAAACTTTTTTTAAATTGACAATTTATGCCCAGTTAAAAATATATCTGAAACGTTCTAACTTGTATCGAAAAAACCCAAAAGTCGGATAAAAACATGACAAAAACTGCAAAAAAATATTTACTAGCAGTGAAGGAGGTTGTAGGACATGTTCAGCACCTCACCAGATCCCCTCAAAGCCAATCGAATAATACTTTTATTTTTTGGGGGTTTAATGACAGACTATTGGAATTATAAAAATACAATAGTTTAGACACACACACGGCCTGAGTTTTTTTTTCTTAAAAGAGAAAATGGAAGAATATTAAAAAAATTATTTTCCATTTCTCTCTTTAACAGTTTCCTTCCATTTAATGTTGCCTAAATTGACATGTAGGCTAAAGGTTTAAAGTTTTAAGTGATCCTACATACTCAGAGATTCTGACTGAAGCAAGATCTAGTTTTGTACAAATACTCTAGAAAAGATTCATTTATATCTAAATGTTTTAATATAGCTTAGTATGTATGCTTCACTAACACAGCAGTACATTTCACATTTGTGTTCCTGAAACTTCATTAACAGCACAATACAATAAAAAAAAAAAATTCTTCAAATACAAATAATATTTAGCTAAAAAAATAAGCTTCTTGAGTCTGTAAATGACCTGATAGGTGTCTTATAATGAAGAGCTTTTCTTATACTTAATTCTCTGTGGTATATTTTGTTCCGGTCTGTTCAAACAATCCCACAAAATACAATTGTTTATTTATAGATCATATACAAGAAGTAAAGATACACACATTTTGTATTGTTAGGATCATTTTTGTACAAAAGTATAAAGAAACAATTTTAATGAAGTAAATGAAAACTCTCTCAATCCCAGTCCAGATTTTACTCTCTGGAGTGTACAGATGCCTCTTGGAGATGCTGCCTCACCACCTCGTCCAGCACCTTGCTCACCCCTTTACAAGCAGTCATTGCAGCTTCGATCAGGGTTTCCAGGTGGTCCTGATGAAGTCGGGCGTCCATCTGAACCAGGGCGATCTGTCCGCCCCGGGGCAGCAGAGCCAAAGCCAGAGAGCTCACTCCTCCACTCTCCTCGGCATAGCAAAGGTCAGCAAGAGGAGTCTCATCAACAAAGCCTACAGTGCAGGCACAGACGTAGTCTCTCATGGGGATGCCCGCATCAATGACCGCAAGGGTAGCTGCATTGACACACACGCTGTAGTTCCCTCCATCTGACTGCAGAATCTGAATGGAAAAAAGAAAAGAATAATTTGAAGAAGAGAAAGGGTCTTGGTAAACGTCGCGCTTTCCTGCGATTGCGATTTACCTTCACATAGATGTCAATCTGAGAGCGCGGGAAGAGCTGAGTCATCACAGCAGCTTCAAATGTCTGCTTCAGGTGGAGACTCATCTCTGTGGATTTGCGATCTCCATGCGGTCTCCTCTTCCTCTCAGCTGTGCTGAAAGTGGCCATGCTGTACTGGCAGTTAATAACAGCTCGATCATGAAGGGCCCGACTTCTGGATCCTCTTATCTAAAGCGGACACCAACAGTAACATCAATGAATCAAAGCCCAGATCCTAAATCTATAGCAAATCTAACCACAGAGCTATAACATATGTCTGGGAAGACTTTAACAGCTCTTAAAGAGGTAAGGTTTACATCATCATAGATTGAAGGAGTGGCAACAAAAAAACAGAAGCTTTTAAGCTAGGCTAAACTTTAAATACCTTCAAGCAAACCCTTCATAGCCAGTGGAGGGAAATATGATCAGTCTGGCCACAATTATCAGAAACATATTTGGTGGAAACAAGGAAAGTCTTCAAATGTTAGATCACTGTGCCTACTGTAAAGCAAGGCAGTGGCAGCATCATGACCACTGTTCATTTTGATATGTACAGAAATACTGAAAATTGGGGACTAGATTTAAGTTCTTGAAGCAGGATTTTTTTAAACTTGGACATAATGTTGTGTTTGAACAGAACAATAACATAAAATACAAATAAAAACTGTTTTGAAAAGAAAACCCATGCCAACATCAACCCTGGGAAATGGCCCCATCCTCAACCTTATTTAACATGAGATGAGGTTGTATCCTTTCCAGACAAAACTCTTAACACTTTTTATTAGGCCTGAATGTTAATAGAGCCTAATTTATTTTTGTTTATTAATATATAAATTATATATATA